AAAATGTCTTTATATTGATCTAATCAAGTTTCTTTGGCCTATCTTCTCTTTTTCCATGAAACCACTCATTTGTGACCTTTGCATGGCAATAAAAAGGTAGAGTAAAACTTTCTGTGATACAGAGAGGAAGACACCATCTATCTGCAGATACACAAAGATCTGCATGGATTCACTTCTGATAGACTGGAACATTTTTGATATGAGTAAAAACCTGTGCTATATATAACGATGGATTATGCTCATCAGTGCAGCAGTGTGTTTCAGACATGAGCTGTTTTTAATGGATTTGGAAAACAATGGGAGCCTGTGACCTCGGGGACGTAGAGTTGAACCCAATGTTCCACTGACTTCAGCAGTAAAGTTCAGGAGTTTGAACAATACCGGTACTCTTCCTCTCTCTATTTAGAGATCCTTAGGCTAACATTTAAATTAAATTATCTTTTTTTATTGCTCAACAAATTCAAGGGTAAGTTATGGCATTAAACCTACTGTATATTTATTGCTCTGCCAGCTTCCTTTGCATTACTGATCATTATTTAACTAGGCTCCTTGCAATATTCCATTAAAAACACATGCAAGGTGTGCGTACAAATATGCACTGTTAGATTAATTTGAATGGTGCACAAAGTCTTAAATCGACTAAAAGGCACTCACTGAAACAATTGTCAAAGATCCAAGGACAATCTATGGCAACTTTTTGTCAGACATTTTTTTCCAAAGTAAAGGAACAAAGTTTCTTTACCTGAAGGAAGTGAACATTTATTTTGTAAGAGCAAAAATTAATCTTCTAAACAGCAGCAGTTAACTCTGAATCCAAAGACAGTTTTAATAACATAGATCTTTTTGCTCAGTTGTCCCTTTAAGCTTCTTTGTTATAAAACAATCACCAAGGTTCCCACCTTTCATGCAGCTAACTGTGCAGAGGTAAAGGATCTGTCACAATCTCTAACTGTGTGTATGAGTGGTAAATTTAGATGCACAAACTCACCTTCCCGTGAATCTTTTGCCCCTGGGGGAGTCGGCGTGTTGCCATGGAGATCAGAATACAAAACATCGCTGAGGAGAAGGCTACAGCAGCAAACACGAGACCCCAGGAGAGGCTGCAGAAGTAGCAGGAGCTCTCGGCAGATGTGCACACCAAGACGTGAACTGAGGCGAGCAGCAGGCACAAGAGGTAGAAAGGCAGGGAGAGCAGAGATGAAAGGACTGGGAGGTCCACTACTGCTGCACCACTGAGAGCTTCAGGCATTGCCAGCAGTAAGACCAACAGGAGCTTGAAGGCCAGGGTTGGGGAGAGAATGGAGACAAGAAGAAGAAGAGAAGTTTTTAATAACTTTGATCACGCTAAATTAAAGTAGATATACCACACAGCAGTTGTATGCCTCCAGACTCATATTCATGTGTTGTACATGTTGTGGAAACACCAGAGAAGGCAGCCCAGTTGTGTGTGGGTCCACAAGCCCATTCAGAAGAGCACAAAGCTCTGGGACCTTTATGGGCTCCTCCGGGAGCTGTGTCTTGATGAATGCCATTTCCTGGGCTACCTGCGGCTAACCAGTGATCTATTTGATCCGGTTGGAGCCCTGTGAGTTTCATTATCATTGCTCAGTGGCTTATGCAATGCGATATTTCAAATGTTTCAACTCAAGCATGCGATGCGACAGACATGCATTTTTGTCCAATGCGCAAGGCCTAATCTTGACATGTAAAAACACAATCATAAAACATAATTTGAAAGTATATGTGTATATATATATATATATAGCACATATAAATATACGGTGGGGACCTAATTCTTTTACTGTGGTAGCTTACACCAATTCAATTACAAATTGGCCATATATCGATTATGTAGAGGAGACCACAGCAACATATTTGATCCACAATACCAAAGCATTTTTTTCTCGATCTCAATACTCTAATAGCAAAATCCTTTGTAATTGTAGCCATAGCTCCATTTTTGTCTCTACACATTCTGTGACACATTAGTTACCAAAGTGCGGAGGATGAATGAATTTCTTCTTTACTCACCTGGAATACAAAGACCATGCCTGCGATCATGGAGTACATGTCGTACTTGCCAAGCTGTTTGCTGAGAGCCGAGCTCATGGCGGCCAGGGCATCCAGGTACTGCTTTAGGACCTTTTTCCCCATATTGGTCAGCACCTCGGAGGTGTTTCCCTCTAGGTAGAGCTTCATCCAGCTCCCATGAGCCTTTTCTGCCACACGGAACTGCTCAAAGCCAGCCTCTGGATTTGATACAAGTTAGGAAAGGGGAGGTTGGGTATCAGCAAATGGAGCGTTTGAATTGTGCGTCTTTAGAAGCGACATTAATCAGACATTACTTGACATTAATATTTGTTGACAATTACTCAAACGGTGTTTTTTGATATACTTCTTGCTGCAGCTGACGCATTCACATATATTTGTCAAAACGAGGAGGACATCTGCAAAATCTTATTAATAACCTCTATGAGTTTCCTCATGCAGAATCACCTTCATTTTTCAGTCTTTATTTATCACCGATTGTCCTGATGCATCAAGACAATTAAACGTATATATTAGCTCAAGCAATCTGAGCCTTACAGTTATGTAACATCAGCATCGGCTTGCAGACTTCCTCTTAAATGCAATATTTTCAGTATTTCAGTACTTTTTTACTATTAGCTTATTTAAACCAACAAAACCATGAAAAACTGAAGAAAAGTTAAAGGAGTGTTTGTCACACATCCGAAAAAGCCTCCAGGCAACAGTCTAGTCTGCTGTTTTTCATCATTACGAGAATGCAGGTACTTTCTAACTATTTGCTTCCTTATGAATGAGAGATCAGTAATATCACTCTCCTCTTCATCAACAATACTGGTGTATGTTGGATGCTTTAAAAGGCAAATGTGTTTTTTTCTGTGTCTTGGTGAAAGTGATCTATTGGCAGAAACTGAATATACAATTATCCTAGTGATGTTTTCACTAGTGTGTTTCACCTTCATTGTACAAATTGTTGTTTTCTTTACCCTGGAATGGGTCCAAACTGGACAAACTAAACACCAAATGTTTTTATGACAACTGAAGCTACCACAGGTTCTCTTTCATATTTGGAAGGGGAGGGTGAGGTGAGGGGTATTCAGTTGCAACCTGCACATTTACCAATAAACTTTACACTGAACCTCTAAATTAGAAAAAAAAAAATCACATGTTTGTTAAAAACCATTGAGTAGTGAGGAAAGTGGTGTGTAATTGGACAGGCTATGACTCATTCACATGTGTAGAGAAAGCAGATTAAATTATGACTGTTTTCATTTGACTTCAGTGCTTTAAGAGCCTGTTCTAGAACAGGCAATGTGGAGGTTTGATTTGTGATATACTTCAGTAGAAGACACACACTCACACAACTAAAAACAACATTTTGGAGTACAACACCTATCTCAGCAGCATAGGCATAGAGGTGATAAATAGTGACTGTGGCTCTGCCAGACAGAGAGGCTGGTAGAAATATTAGAACCTTAAGCCACAGGCATGAATCATGCAATATCGATGGCCCTGGCCATGTTTCATCTGTCTGAAAGTACAGCGACTAGTTAATGGCCCTCCAAGATGCCTGAGGTAAAAGGCACAAAAATAAATACAATATGAAGATTGAAACAAGGGAGACAGGCAGAGATTGTGGCAGAGACATATTGTTTAAAGAACAAGGTTGTTTAAACCTCTCATCACCTGAGTTAACCTTCAAAAACCTTCCCTTTATATGTTACGGGGGTCACTAGATTTACATGTGCACTAATGGCCCTGTTATGAGGCTTAATACGTTTTTGATAATTTGGGGGATTTTTGTTTCCTGTATGGTGGCTTTTAGCTAGGGCTGGGCGATGAAAGGATAAAGATAATTATCGCAAAATAACTTTTCCGTGCTTGAAAAATAAGACATGGTCAATACATCGTCGATAGAACTCATTCTATCTGTGTAAAAGCGTTGCGCCAAACTAATCATGTAACTCAAATAAAGTTATAGCTACGCCAGGTTAGGTTGACGCACACAGCACAAAGCATAGGGGTAGCAGTGGCACACATGCTAATGTTTGGGCTACTACTAGTACATCAGACGAGAGCGACAGCAAATAATAAACATCTGTTGTTATTAAACATGGACCTGTGTCGTGCTGTCACGACCACCGCACAGAACCAGGGCACGGTGGATAAAGATGAGCAGCTGTGACTGGTGGGATTGGGTCGTCATGGTGGAGTTCAGTCACACAATGATCATCAGTGGTCAGAAACCAGGATAAGATGTACATATATACATGGAACAGTATCTTACTCCAACTACTAAAATCTGGTTTTTCAAATCCGCAATAAGGATACTGACGCTGATGTTTACAAGCTTAAATACAAGAATGGGATCTTTCAAAAACCCGAATATAACTGGGTTATAAAAGTTAGTGACTGAAAACACAGTCACTAACTGTGTATTATAAATCTTATTAGTTTTATGTCCTTGATGAAACATACTTGGAAGCTGAAATGGGCAACATTTCTCCTCAGACAGCAGACACATTTCTTTGAAGAAACTTCTTTCACACCCAGTTAAAACATGACCCCAACAGGTGTCCAACTGACATGCTGCTTAAAATACCGTCCCAGGCGACTTTCCCAGCAGTGACAACTATTACATTCTGCTGCATAACAGCTTCATGATTACCCAATGGACAGATAAAAAAAAAAAAAAAAAAAAAAACATCCAAATGTAGGTCTGCAGATATTATTTCTATTTCATCCCATCGCTATGGAAACCAGGGACCAAAATAGAGAGGAAAATGTGCTGCCAGAGTTTTTTTATGTGAAAGAAGTAGTTTGTTTCAAATCAAGTTCTTAAAAAATGCAATAAAGCATTTTAAAGAACTTGGTTTGTTTACCTCAAACAGGTTTGTGTCAGTGTTTTCTTTCAGACAGCTGTCTGTTAACTCAATATACGAATATGTTTGGGCCAAAAGACGGAGCAAGACATAAAAAGACTTTTTCTATTTGAAAACCATGAATGCAGGTACAAACTCAAATCAAAATCCATCCGGTAGTTATTGAGATATTTGGTTAAAAACGAGTAGACACTGCTGTCAGAGGGTTCAGGGTCAGAGGCCACTTATCCTTTCATCTCCGTCCTGGTATTCATCCAGGAGGATCTTTATTCCTGACCCCATTTGAAAAGCATGTGTACAGTATGAGTTCATCTTGAATGTTATTGTTACATATCCAGGCTAATGGTTTTAAATCAGTCCTGCAGTGCTTGACAAGGATTCTCATATTAGTTTGTAATTTTTTTGGTTTTTTGGTCATCAGATTTGTCCTTGCTGCCTTTATCTTTGTTCAGAAACTTCTCATTAGTTCAGATGGTTGTGGGTGTGTGAGTTATCTTAGCACCACCATTTATTTCTTTAGTCATAATTGCAAACTATTCTATGCTCATGATGAAAAGTTGGTAATTGCTGCCATTGGTGTATCACATGCTTGTAAAAGTGGAGGACAGCAGCGGAGAGCAGACGGAGAGGGAGGAAAATAAGAGGCGGGGGGGAGAGTCAGCAAGATGGATAACTCTGACAAACAGTGTGACCCCCACATATAAGTAGGGAGCAAAACGCTGCAAGGATATAAGCATACATTTGCACAAAGAGTGGGCAGCATGAATGTGCCAGAACAAATCACAGACTGTTTGCAAGGCTCCTGTGTAGAGTTTTCACAGATGTAAGGTTATTTATTCATGAACTTGAAAAAAATCTGTATATGAATTTGCCGTCACTAACATCCTGACATGACAGGAGCCGGTGTACTGAAAGCAGGTCAGTGTTTATGACGTTTTTTTATTCCCTTCTTCTCGACGGTGCATGTGTGATTCATCTGCGCCAACCAGACACAACAAATGCAGTGAAGCTGGAACATCTGGAGGATTATCTGACTGCAAAATGAATAGTTTCAATCTTTTAACTTACATTAGAAACAATAAGCCAAAATACAATGTGTTTCAATGGATTTATTTTCATCTGTCATGTTGAAATCTCAAATTCCCTGTTTTTGTAAAGGACCACAGTGTTGATGACATTTGATGTGATGAAAGTTTTGAATTTTTGAATGTGCGATGATTCTACCCTCGTTTTTAATCAGACTGCTTCAGGTTAAACTCTCTGAGAAGCTGCTTTGATGCAGGCAACAACATGCTGTGAATAATGAGGAGATGGACTTTTATTCAGAGCAAACCATTTCTGAGTCAACTCAAGTCTGTGCCATCTGTGGGGTTTTTTCCAGTGACACTTACACTTACATGCACAATACTGTGAGTGAAATACAAAATAACACTAAAATCTCTATAAAATTATAATCCTCTTAGTCTTAGATTAGCATATGTTGTGTCAATACCTCATGTGGAATATTCAGATTATACAGGCTGTAACAGACATCTGTCAGACACCTAAATGTTATACCTTCAGATCAGAGAGGGGCTGATGCTGTGCCACTAGTGCTTCGGTAGCATATGCCGATCCCTAAAGGTATACAGCTCATATTACACTTGAAAGTGGGGGGCCACTGTCAGACCGTTAACCCTCCGTTAGTGCACATGCTATGTAATGCCAGTCAGCAAGTTTTATGAAGACTGCTGCTGTACTTGCAAAATTTTGTTCTCTCTTTATTCAATCAACAAGTCAACCAAATTTTATTTGTACAGCCCATATCCACAAATCACTATTCAACATCCGCTGCCCTTTACCCTCATGAAGAGTGAGAAAAAACTAGAAAATGTTAGCTCAATCGCAAACTAAGCAATGTCTTGGTGTTTTCTCTCTTCTGTTCTGTTGTTATGTAGCTATATGCACAACTAGGGGCAGCACTACATTGATATATTATTAGGTACGATGCTCAACAAGTTTCATTCATAAAGCAACACAAGCATTCATTTGGAGTCCGTAATCTGATTAAATATGTCCAGAATTAACTTTTAGCTCTGTCTTGGTCTCCACCAACTCCTAAAGAACATATCTCTCCATTAAGCTGCTGTATCCTCCAATATGTCTACAAGCCACTCATGAACTTTGTTTGTCTGATTGGTGCTGGGAAGGTTTATTATTTAGTTTGTGGGACAGAAAACAAACAACAACAAGAAAACTCAATGAGCTCAAACACTTCATAGAGCAGAAAGGAACAGAAGAGTCCTGTCAGAATTCTATGAGGGTATGAACCCTCTCACGTTACACCTCACCTAGCCCCTTGTTAATAGAATAAAAAGGCTGAATAGTGCATTCAGTGTGGTTTAAGTGAAAGAGGAAAGCAGAGGCCTGTGCTATGAAGCAGGATTTGCGGTAATTGGGATAACTACAGGTTCAATTCAGGGATATACAGTCCTACGAAGCTCATTCACTTCTTATACCACTAACCACTAACCTCTGGAGCAGGTTAAATTGGAGATAAGAGATCAACCAGTGTAAAACCAGCGCCCACTGACCAATCAATTCCTTTGTATCATGACATCACCGTTCTTAAAGGATCCCGTACAGCAAAAAAAAAAAAAAAGGATCCTGTGGAGCTGGGTATGGATTGTTAGTCTCTGAGGAGGAGTAGGGTCTTCAGAGACCGACAAAACCCTTTTGCCTAATCCGATGAGTATCTTCTTCATAAAATATATAGATCCTTATCAGAGGGAATGATTTACCTCTGCCAACTGCTAGAGATGAACAGAACCAGCCTGACACGTCGGTGCAATGTGCTCACAGTACCACAGACTGTCTGCATTGCTCTTCGTTTATTTGCTTGTGGGAGTTACTTATATCGATGTACTAGGTGTGTAAGTGGCAGGATAAGCAGACATAGCTTTATACTTTTGTCCTTCCCCTTAAGGTTTATTCTGTGAAACTAAATATTTATTTGGAATAGGGGATAGATAGTTTACAGATTTACCTTGTAAGGACCCCAGTTCCGGTCGGCAGGTTTTGTCAATGTCAATTTTATTTATATAGCACATTTAAAACAACTTGGTTGACCAAAGTGCTTCACAAAGTAAGTTTTGTTAGTAAAGAAAAGATTCAGATTTCGTGGCCCTGAGTTACTTATCTTGTTCCTATGCGTTATGTCATGGTCACGCAATATATTTTTTCCCCCAAATGTCACCAGGGGGCTCTGTAACTTACACATTCACACAATCGATGACAGCTGTCCTTCCTGAATTTAGCAGCTTTAACTGTGTTTCTTTTAGTCTGGATAATCTGTATGTACTCATATTTTTCTAATATAACAGTTTGCTCCTCATTTAAAATATGTGTCTCTTTTGTCAGTTCACTTGTCCATGTCTGTGATGGGTCATATGCAGTAAACCCCGGCCCTTTAATGTGCACATGCTCAGATCTTGATCAGGAAAACCTTGGTTGACTAACAAGTTGAAAATCAGCTTTGTGTGGCCACTTAGCCTGACCGCGATTGTTTGGTTACGTTCACCGAGATATCAGAAAGATATCCATGTTGAACTCGGTTCGTAGTACAGGCCCCCGGTGGCCGAGCTCATGTTGATGTTGCTGAAAAAATAACCAGATTTCAGGAAAAATTGTGAGTAAAATGTCTGGATTAAGATGCCGCATGTGCTGCACATTGTGGTTTTTGAGAGTAACAATACGATGACCCCATTGACTTTCTTAGTTTTGGAGAGGGCTGAACTGAAGTAATGGTAAAGGACATGATGCATTTTCAATGATTCACCTTTGACAGAGGGGGATCAACAATTCCTTAAGGTTTCATACTATCTTCACTAGTTGATGTGTGCATGAAAAAATGATGAGACTCCCTGTCAGCAAAGGTCCTGGTGTTCTAGGCTTTTAACTACTGTGGATGGACACAGGAATTTGTAACCTACCTTTCTCATAGTTGGGCATGCTGTCTTTGAGCAGGCAGCTGAGCTGGTGGCCATTGAGATGCAGAAAGCGCAGCTGGTCTCTGAGTGAGGTTTCTTCGAGGACACCTGGGATGACGCGGCCCACGCTGTTTTGAGATATGGGCAGGCCGAGTCCCAGGGCCAGGGTCGGGGTCAGGTCAACCTGCTCGACCACTCCGGGCTTCTCCATTCCCACTGATATGACAGGACAACAACAACACACATGAAAAGCAGTAAGAACTACTGTGCCTGCAATACATGATGTTTTTTTAATGACACATGGATTAATTGCATTTTATTATTTTTTCTTGGAGGTTTATTTGTTCAGAAAACAACACAGCAAAACAGGGGTCAAGGAAAGTACAAGCTATCAGGTTCTTCATCTATTTCGAAAATGCACCACTTTCTGTGTGCTTGAGGATTTTTCCCATAAAAAAAAGCTGCAGTTTCAGACACAGAAAATGGAAAAGCTTTCAAGAACAAACCAAATGTTGAGTCTCAATTGTGTAACTATCAAACAATCAATCAGTAATAGCTGCAAAAATGGCAATTTATTTATAAGAACAAAAGTCACATTTTATTTCTTCAAACTCTAAAGCAATTCACAGACAAAAACTATTTATGTGATGGACACAAGGAAATAGCTCAATTTTCATTGAGTGTTCTGCAGAGGATTTCTGCGTTCACTCAATAAGAGCTTGTCTAAAAGCATTTCATAACATTCATCAAGATAAATAAGGAAAAGGAGGTACTTCTCCTGAAGTCACATCACTGACAGTGAAATATCCCACGCTCCTCTGTTATTTGGACGTCGGTGTATTTATATGTAGAGTATATTTTAGTTGGACACAACTCTAATCAAAGCAGCTGTAGAATCTCATTGCCACTGCTTTCGTTTTCCCCTCAGGACAGTCAAACTGCGGTCACAGAAAATGGAGAGGGAGTGTGGAGGAACATCAACAACCTTAATCCACAAATGACTCTTATTTTATGTATTAAGACAGAGTGCATTAGTGGCATCCAATTTGTTGATCAGGGTGATATCTAGAAAGCCTGAATCAGAACATGAACGCACCAGCAATAAGCCTCATAATTACTTTTCTATTAATGGCTGCACATATGAAAAATAGGGTAGTCACAACATATAAAACCAATGAAACAAAAAGAAAATACAAAACAAATGAAAATAAACTAGCAAAGTTAATTGTGAATTTGCTTGTCCCCTGTTGAAACTCCCTATCAGGAGCTTTTCAGAATACAAACAGAGGGTGGGAGCCACAATGTGCACATTGTCTGTGTTTCACAGACGTTTTCAGATTAAGATAATGAACGATACCGCTGTATACATCTAAATATTAACACCACGCCTCACATGTGGCAGGGAGGCAAGACGGCTGAAGACTGAAGGCTGGGACAAAATCCACAGCTATGAGCTCTTTTGGAAAAAGGACACATTAAATTAAAAGGACACAGATTTGTAACAAGACAAGGACTTTGCTGTATTAAGCTCACAGTTTTTCAGATAATGCCATAAATATACCAAGTAGATAAGGCTTGTTTAAATGTGTCCAAAATTGTTTAAGTTATGGTTTTAGTTGCAGCAATTACACTAATGAGTGGGATTTTTCAGACCCTTGGGAAAACAGGTTTTCGTCAAACACACATTATTTTTTCATTGAACGCAGCAAAGAAGCCAAGAAGAGCCTACCATGATGGACCACATATCTGTAATGCTGCATCCAATCAGTGTGTACTGGACTATTTGGGTCTGACCATGGGAGGGTTAGACAACAGAGCGACTCACATTCTGGCAGAACAGATGTATCATAACTCAGTGAAAGGTTACACACACTGAATGCTGATTCACAAATGAGAAAACTGCAGCGGAGCACAATGCCTTATGCATTACAGCTCACCAATATTATCTCTATACAATACCCCAGTTACAGCCATGTTTAAATTCCTGATGCATCAAATGTACAGAGGCACACATGTTCTCAGCTTTAATATGATTCTGTATGAATGCTGTGACACTAACAGGGTTAGCAGCTATGTGAACATTTGTTATGAAGAAAGAAATGTGTGTACTGCATACAAGTGTATGGGCACTGTAGCTCTGTTCATTAATATCTCTTTCACATCAGGAGGCTGAAATTTTGTCTATCAATGTATTAAACCATTGTTACATCAGTTACTGATGTTGTTGCACCACTGTTGCTGAGGGGTTTTGAGGCTGGGAATGCATCACCTTATCCATTCTCTGTTATTGTTCTTAAATTATTTTGACTGTAACACAGGAAAACACAAGGATAGTGACAAGAGGTACACAGCGACAGTGTAGCTGAGCTGTGCTGTTTGATTAAAGGGGCAAAGCCTCTGAGGGGTCCTTCCAGCAACGTTGACTAAATGCTCTAATGTTCAGAGAGAGCTGTTTTCTCAATGATGCAATCAGATTCAAAAGTTTAGCTCCGGTACAGAACCGGTAATGAACTCTAAACCTATGCAGACGTTCTTTATTCCTTAAAAACAACCCAGTCTACTGATGAGGCCACTGATGGATGCATTAAAAAGATCACATCCCCATGTCATCATACAATATAGCCATTTTCAGACATGACCTTTGGGTAAAATCCGGAGAATTGGCAACCGCTGTTTGCCTTTCACACATGCACAACACAGTAGGAGGTTTTCTGCACAGACGTTTTCACAACAGCAACAATCCTCCTCATTATTCAGGCGAGAGGTGGAGCAGCCAGGCATGGGACCAATTAGGTTTATCTTATCTTAAATCCACACAGTCCATAACAGAGTTTTTAGAATGTAAACATTTATAAATAATGATAATAACTAACATTGAGTGTGCCTTTATTCATGAATATTTGATGTTAAAGAAAAACCTGAACCACATGGACCAGCCTTCACTCCCCATGTGGATCAATGAGCCTCTGGTGCCCATGTCGACAACTTGTCCCTCCTTGGATCATTAGATACTGATCAATGCACACTGCGGAGATGCTCTGACTCAGTTGTCTAGCCACCACATTCTGGCCTTTGTCAAATTCACTCTGATCCTTACACTTGCCCATTTTCTTGCTTCCAACACATCAGCTTCAAGAACTGACTGTTCACTCGCCTCTGAATGTAGCCCACCCCTTGGCAGGTGTCATTGTAACAAGATAATGTTTTTCACTTCACCTGTCAGTGCTTTTAACATTGTGTCTGCTGCATTTCGTTTGAAGAGAACACAGAGTTTGGCATTTACTTCCAATCCTCTTCTGTAGAATTTGATAGAAAAAAAATCCATGGTAGACAAAGTCATTCAAGCTGTTGGCACCACAGGAGGTGAAGAGTGCCAGCAAAAGCTCGAATTCTGTAGCAACAACTCAACTCAACTGCAAAAGATTAATTAACATGAATGATCTATAAATAACAAATCTATGCAAGAAAAGATCTCGAAAATAGACTTAGCTGAGAAAGAAGCAATTATCATGATCACACTTTCCCACTCATCCACATTCATCACCGCTCCTGAGCTTCTGTTTGATCTCATTTGAGGTGACACTGTTCCTCACAGTAAAATTTATGCAAAGTTATGTATGAGCATAATTTACTTGCAGATTCTATTTACATGTTTATTTTACTTGATTCATAACTGTTAGTCAAAAAAAAAACCAACCTCTTTGATCAATAAATCACAGCAAGGTTTATTAATTTGTAGGATAGACCCAGCATTTCATACAAAATTCATTCAATCTATGGCGCTAGCATTGGTGCACATGCACAAACGTCGCTCTCACATGCAACACATTTTGAGCTTCAGGTAAACAGACTAGTGTGAAAGACAAGTTCTCACGAGAGAGAAACTGCATTGCATGCCATCTGCAGGTATGTGCAAAACTGCAGCAAAAAGTATGAGGTCTAAATGTCTGCGTGAGTGGTAACAACTTTATAGGTGATAGTAAGAGTGAGCATGCAGCAAATAGCACTACCAAAGAGGGAAGAAAGGAGAGCACAAGGGCTCCCTCTCTCAAGATGGACAGATGTGCAATAGATGTTGCATGTTACAGAGCACATCAACAAAACAGCAATATCTAAAACATTCAGAAAAGACAGTGAACATTTATACACCTCTCCATACAAAGCATTCATGCATTTATGGGAAGTTTAATCATTAATCAAATAATTAATGCAAAACACTGGTGGATCACTAGATATAGTCTCTATGACCTTATGAAGTGATCAGGGTCTTAAAAACATATTCATATGTCAGTATGTTGACAGGTATTACCTGTAATGTCATGTGTAAAATATTGACCCCAGCCAAACAGAATCTCTTTGATTCAAAGAAAAATCTCCTGTCTGCCTCTTTGGGCAAACAATGAACACAGTACCTTTTCTTTTGAAAGCCGGACTTATGAGCACCAGGGGTGTGTTGATTTCTGGCTCTGAGGATCCTCCGTGGCTGCCGGTCTCCGACATGCCGTGGTCCCCACACAGCACCAGCAGGTAGGGCAGAGATCCCTCCGCTTCCTGAGTGAACAAACACCAAGGTTAATGGCCTGTCACTGGATGTGCTGATATGAGAGGACAAACTTTCAGGTTTTAAGATGTTGGCAACAACTGCTTCCTGTGGCTGCAACAAAAATAAAAACAAAATACATCCAGTTTAGAGGAACAGAGCCAGAGCACAAAATGATGCTATGCAATAGCAGCAAAATGAAAGGTATTAAATTATTATGATGTAATGGCAAATGCTTCCTGGCATAGTTTCATTCTATCTCCGGAATGAAAACAAAAATAAAGTACAGAAAACAAACAAACAGAGGATGGCTCATTTGTTGAGAATGACAGACTTTGATCAAGCTTGATGTCTCCCCTATGTGATTCCCTTTCAACAAGACTCATGAAAAACTCCCATTGACTGAATCTGACGGGGATACCGATGAGTCACAGCAGTAGGGGATGATTTAAAAAACACGACTACAGATGTTTTCAAAACAAAAGCCAAATCCTGGCGAATGATACAAAACTGTCATTAGACTCCTTAGGTCCAGTGTTATATCTCAAATGAAGAAAATAGACTTTGCATATATTTAAGATTAAACTATATTCCATCAAGCTGACATTAATAAACAACCTGAAAGAGAGATAAGAAAAAATACAATGATTTCTGAATGAGTGAGACTACCGGTAATCTTATTTTTGGGTTTAAAAGATAAGTCTGACAAAATGTTAATTTCACTTGATGACTTTGTCCACACAGACTCACAGCAAAGGCCAGTGTCGGCATGAATGTTTAGTTTGTTGCTGGAGCTGGAGCGTACATATTTGCATACTCTTTGATTGAGATAGAGAGTGACATAAAAGCTTGATGAATGCTTTAAGCAAACACTGCAGGTTAGAGCCATTGTGCTCAGCTGACCCATCTTCTATGTGTTACTCACTCGGCATATATGAAGCAAAAGACAACATTTTGTCCTAGATTTTACCACTTGAATGCAAACGGACCAGGACACAAAGGACCAAAAACACCTCCAGACCCGTACTAAACATCACTGAGCGCCACACTGAGCCAGCCTCTTTTCAGTTTAGGACAAGTCAGAGTGAACTCCTGTTCCTCAGGATGAAAGCACCATGCAGGACTCTGTTGGGAATGTTTTCACACTTCTTAAGAACCATATTTTTAACCCAGAAAGTGTCACACTGAATCAGGTGGTAGCTCATGATCAGTTAGCTGAAAGTAATGGATAAGGGGTTGAAAGATATTGGTTTGATAAGTGGACAACACACATAGAGTTCATACCTCCGCCAAGACCCCAATTACCTAAATATATCATTTTTCCCCCATCAAGATCCACAAATTATTCCCTGGGAAAAAAGGTGAACATTTTGAACACAGTGCTGTTAAAGAAAATGCTTAAAAAAATAATTCTTGGAATAAACCCCTGATCCAGAGACACACCAAAATGTAATGAGTTCTTCCCCGACCCATACCACATCCTTCCACCAAGTTTGGTGGTAATCCCTGCTTACAAACAAACAAATCGACAAATGGATAGGGGTTAACACAAAACCTCCTTGGCACAAGTAAATGTGTTGGCTAAAAGTAATAAACAACAAAAAGAGATGGCTCAAATTATCGGAAAAAAAACTGCTGAAGTAAACAGCCAAAAGCAAAGGATCTATTTTTTTATTCCAATATTTATTTTTTGTGTAGTGCACACAGAGTGCCATACTCCCATGGGTTTACAAGACACCAAGAGGTACAGTTGCAGTGTTCCATTATTCTGCCTTTTAGATTGGCAAATAAAAGCAGCTTCAAAAAGTTCCCTTCCTAAAGCCTAAGAAAGTTTTTCATTATCGAGCCAGAAGGAATTAACAAAAATAAAGGACATCTTAAGTTCACCCCTTATGTCCAATAGAACAAGAAATGAATCTCATTCTTAATTTCACTGAGCACACACAACAAAGCCTGTCGTCCTCTGGAGAAACATTAAAGCTGCCTGTCTCTGAATGTAGCTGTGCATATAAGGATCTTTGTCTTTTATGTAAAGGTTCTCGACTGCAGCTCCCCCTAATGAGACAATAAGTTCAACAAACTAATAATTTTTCTTACAAAATGAGAAACATTTTGCTCATAATCTCCTGAATATCACAAAGCAGCCTAGTCTGAAAAATAAACAACATATTATCGCAGTCTAATTTACCAATAAAGATTCAATATTTATGGATGGACCATTTAATGGTTATGTATTTTGCAAACATATAATTGATCAACCTCAGATTAGTAAAATGTTTTGCTGCTTATCAAATATGTGTCAATCTTTGCCTGCATGGTATTCCAATCACAAGAGGTCACTGCTAAGTTCAGGTCTGAATGAACCCAAATGTGTCTCCAATGTGTCCTGAGATCTGATCACTCAGACCATATTTGGAGATGATCTGGGATGAATGACTTAGCTGACACCCTTTGACCAACTCGAGTTTAGAGAGAGTTTCTCCACTTCTCATTGTCCATACCTTGATTTGCTTGTGACCACCACCACAATATCAAGACTCAAATGGATTAAAATCTTTCTTCATAGCTGTGCATGACTAGTCCACTTGTGGTCTTAACTCTCAGGACGAATGTTGAAACCAGGTCTGAACAGGACCAAATGTCACCTGTTCATAAATATCAGCATTCTATGTATGCTAGACCTGTTTTTATAAAGATCTCTGCATTGTTTTCTGACAAATGTAATAAAACTCACAATGTTACAGAAAAAAAAAAATCTATTTTACTACTTTAATCTAATCTGCTCCAAAGGTTAATGGGTTCCTCCTTGGTCCATATCCCACCCTTTAACCAAGTCTTAAAAAAATTGGTTCAAAGGTTTTTGTGTACTCCTGCGAACAGTAAAACATCTGATGAGTCTGTGAGGACACATCAGAAAAACAAAGTCAAGGAACCACTGTGATGAATTTTACAGTGAAATGACAAAATCCAGGTCTTCTGTCAGAGCAGACAAAGAAAAGAAAGAATGGAAAAAGAAAAAATGGAACAAGGATATAACTGTTTTAACATTTGCACGAGTGAATCATCCTTTAATGTATCTCCCTTGTGAAATACGTAGCACAGATTACCCTGATTACTCTGTGCGCAACAGCCTTAAAATTTGAAAAATCCAAAGAGAAGTATGAGGCCATGTCCTTGCCATTAACACAAAGGTCTGACAGATGTCTTTATAACCAGGAGATCCTACTTTCCAATCATGTTTTAATGGAGAGTGGGCAGGCGGACCATTTCTCTGCCCCTGATAGCTCGCAGAAATATGCCATTGCCATTACAAAGAAAACTTTGAGGGCTGCCATTTCAATGCTACCCCATTTTTCTCCTCTGAGGAATATATTTTTTGTTTTTTGTATGCAGCTGCATCAACAGCCACCTGAAACATGCAGTCGAACCCCCTTAAATGAGATTACACCCCCAACATGTTAAGATCATATGCCGATCAAAGAGAACATAGTTGTTTTTTGTGCAGGAGCCTCTCAAATAAGCTACGGGACCCCACTGGGCTGTTACTATATTTAGGTCACACGGCTGCTGTAGAAAAGAACCTTCACAGCTCTCGCTAATGTGACTGTAGCAAGACTTTCAAACACATTTCATTCAAAGTGCTCATTGTGAGGCTACCATTACCCACAACATGCAGATGTAACCACAAGCCTGGAGAGACAGAATTTAACCAGCCTGAATTAACAACTTTGGGGGGCGTGGTGAAATTTTGCGTCATTTCTGTTAAATACTCTCCACTGTATAATCAAAAAGAGGAAAACTTAACTAGGATATGTGCAGTTGTCTTATGTTCTCTCATAAAACCATGAGAAAAAGGAGGGCGACTGTACGCATACATGACTTGACACTCTAAATACAAGCTTTACACAACTGAATGACAGTGAGATAATACCCATTAACACATGCGGTGCAAAAACATAATGCATGCACAGCTGTCAGACCACACAGAGAAAACAAGGCCATGAAACCTTCAATGATCCAAGACAAAAAGAAAGATAAGAGAAAAGCTTAACAGTTTATTAAATCTGTGTGGCTGCTGCAAGAGATAACATCATAACTGCTGGAAGCACAAAACAAAACAAAAAATACCCCTGTAATTAAAAGACCATCCGAAAAAAGATGACGAAAAAAATCTGATAGCATCACATTAAATTATTAAGTATAGGTCAAAAAGTTAACATTTGCATACTTGACTACAACCCTCGAAACTCTTAAACAGATAACAATACTATTGGAACACAGTAAGTGGAATGTGAGAGAAACAGATGTCGACGTGCCAGATTTAAACGGAGCAGCAGCCGAGATGCAGAGAGCAAATTGGTCTAATTAACTTGATTTGAAAAGTAGAAGCAAAGCCAGTCTACAAATCGAGTGAGTATATAACTAATAGGTTAAAACTCTAATCCTCAGGATTGCCATGACATCAAATTACAATTTTTAGCAACTGCAATTCAGTGCATTTACATTCTGGAATTCCCTCTGTGTATTTAGTTTTCATTGCAAGATTCCACAATTACTTCATATTAAAGATATGTAGGAACCAATAACTGCCTACGAATGTATTTCACTCCTATTGATTTTCTTTCATTGAGCACAAGTGAGCTCATTTTTAAAACATCTGCCAATTGTGTTTTGTTGGATTAATAAAATATGGGGAATGGATTTAAAGCTGCATTGAGCATATCCTGACCACTTGGGACACAACCTCAACCTAAGCTCTATACTGCATGTGTATTTTATATATTGTGGCCTCATTAAGTCCAAACAATTCTACATCCAACAATGTCAGAAAATGGCTTAAATGCACTAACCATTTCAGAAAGGATGATGTCATCATCGGATTGCTTGTTTTGTTTGACCACTGCTCCAGAGAGCTTTACTAAAATATTCAGTGTATGATTCATAAGATCAAGAATAACAGCTAACGATCATTACAGGGGAGCCGGGATGGGACTTGGATATGATGGCTTAAAAAGGGAAATAACTGATTTGTCCGACAGATCTAGCTTCTTTCTGAATAAATGATTGATTTAGAAATTGTGTTGACTTCATTGGTACAGATAAGTTTTTGTAAAGAGGTGCCAATTTAAACATTCAGCAGATACAGAGGAATAGTCATGTTTTAGGTGATTTGATCACTCGTCCAATAAGGCTTCAGTAGTTGGAAAACATATCTCTGTTGCCCTACACACTACTCTGGAGTTTTCAACTGTCTAAAACAGAGAGGGTTGGAAATGCTGCTGGCTCTGCTCTAGTTTCAAGACTGAGACAGTCACCCACACTCACATCTGATTGGTTCTTATTGGTCACGACGATGAATGCAAAATGTGGTAAGCACTTAAAGTCAAAAAGAAATAACTCGTCTTTCTTTTCACCATTGCAGTTTCTTGTTCATAGTAGTTTTTGTAACTAAGCGAATCTTACCAAGTAGAAAATCTGCTTCCTGTTTAGACCTCCTTGCATATGCTAAGTGTACGTGAATGTTCGTTTAGAACATTTCAAAATGAAACATATTAGCCTCACTCTCCTTTTCACCATTATTCATAAAAAATATATTGTTTAGTGCAGCTTCAAGCTTCTCTTTAAAATTCATACACTATGTGGGAAATCTTTCCCTCAATAAAAAAACTCAAGGTAAATAAATTGTGAAACAACAGAACATGCAGATGGTTTTAAAGTAAAGCATCATGTGTAAACTGAGAATGGTGTTACCTTGGAAATGAGGGCACCGTGAATCTTCTTCAGGATATCATCCATCTCCAGCAGTTTGGGCTGGATGAGTGAACTGTGGGGTCCACTGATGTGACCGATGTGGTCCAGGCCCAAGTAGTGAAGGATCAAAATGTCCCAGTCATCTCTCTTCAGGGTGCTGTCCAAATGACGGGTCACGTTGTTGTCAACCTGAAAGTAAACAATACGTTTACAGGATTTCACCTCATAATCTGTTGAGGTTGAAATGATTCAAATCACGTCGTTCAGCAAATTAAGAGCCAAAAGAAGCTTTGCACGTGGAGCTGGGATGATTGAGCCACATGATTGTCTGATTATTCCAGACAAATATTTTCTGGCAGATATACCTGCAGCCATAATTTCAGGTAAATGTCTTAAAAATCAGCACCTCCAATATGCTAGTGTAAACTAGAGTAGACTGCATAAAGATCCACAGCACATTTGTAGCTCCACTGCAAACTAATTGATGAACAGTCTTTTGTCTGTGTTTGCTGGTTCCAATGTTTAACACCTGCCTTCTACACTTTAATAATGATAAGTTGGCCTCACAGCAACTGAATCATTTCCAAACATACCTGCTCAGCATATTACACAGAAGAGAAACATAAAACAATTGATGCAGCATAAAGTTTTTGTTGTATGTTCAGGGTTATTGTTTGGTTTAACATGCAAAAATATGCAGTCTATGAAAAATGGAGGAACCTGTGCACTAATTATAATGTTGCATAATGCAATCAAAGTAATTCACACACAGGAAAATGACTCATTTTGTTTCATGAACAGCCCCCGTAAATCTGAGTTTTATTGCAAATAATAAAATTAGAAGATTTTATGAATCATTCTACGTTAAGCAAAGTTGTCATATTTACATTATGAAACAAATGAGGCTGAAGTGAATCAACTCATGCTGCAAAACTATAAACATGTTTGATTAAAACTTCCACCTTTTCAAACTTAACTTCTATGATATCTATATTCTAGCCATAATTGATAAAAACTAATCACTCATATCCTTCACAAAGCTAAACCCCGGTTGACTTGCACGTACCTCAGTGTAGTCGGACACAAAGAAGGAGGTGGTGCCGTCATACTCCATGAAGCGTTTGGGGAAGAGGCGGACCCAGGTGTCATCTCCGTAGAAAACTATCCTCTTCCCTGCTGTTTTAGCCTGCCAAATGAGGTTGTCTTCCAGCAGTGCAGGAGAATTTAGGTTCATTACCACATCAATGAAGCCTGGGATACTGCCAGTGGTGAGAGCCTGAGGAGAGATGTGTTTTTGTCATTGTCCTTTGAACAATAATTGTCTACAAATGGTGTAATACAACCTTGAACTTGCATCATATGAATCCGGTTACTTTAGATATGCGCTGGAGGTCAGTGTTAAAAACTGTTTTTTTTTAAATTTAATATTGATAATCTTCAAAACAAATCAAATTCATTAATATCCATTCTGTCTGATTAGTAACTACAATAAATTAACTTCAGACACCTGACTTATTCCCACATCCCCAAACCAATCTTGCAGCCACAGATGGAAACTGAAAGCTGAATCAGGAGGACAGATGATATTTATGAAGTATAATTTCTACTGATTTCATCATGGAATGTGCAGTAAAACAACACTGGCCTCTATTTGACTGACAAGGAAAACACAGCCTGTTTTGGAAGTCAGGAGAGAGGATGGTGGATCGTCGAGGGGGGAGTACAAAGGCCTTGTCTTCATGCACTGAAGGAGACGTGAGATTGCAGATGCTGGCAGCAAACACAGTTATTTAAACCCCCCTGTGAGCTGCCCGGTGCACAGCCTGAGATTGTGCAGGATGCTCTGAAATCGGAGCTAAAATCAGAGTTGACCAGCCTTTATTGTGTGAAGGTCCCGGTGTTAAAGGAACCTGACGAGGGAGCTGGGCAGGCAAATTCAGAGTCATCTTTCCAATCCCTTTTTAAAACCACTATTTTATCCAGTTTATCACTGATGTTTTTGTCCTTACATATCCCTGTTTGTCACTTCACACTGGGGGATTTTGTGCATTTAGCAACTTTTATATATTAGTGATGTTCTTTTGTTTGCGAAACACTTTGTAGCAGTTCGTGCGTGGTTGTGTGAGCTCCACTTTAGCTGTTCTGTAGCAACTCTGTGTCTACTTCACAGACACAAGAGACAAATAGCAATAAACTAAGACTGTCACACCCCCACAATGAAGGGTAGGAAGGCTTTAAGAACTGACAAGACATAAAGCTTCCTTTATTTTCTATCACACTTTCAGTATCTATCCCTAGGACCATGTTGTTTTTATAATGTGTTTAGTCTTGATTAGGCCTGGGAAATAAAGCATTGCAATAATTATTGCAATATAATTTGTATCAATAGCAATATAACTAAAGTGCAATATATATAATGCGTATGCATTGTTTAAGCACAGTCAGGAGGTATATCATGCAAAACTTATACCAAAGATTTATGAAATGTTTTGCTGTCAATTGTCATTCTCTACTCATAGAGTCACAACCTTCACTCAAGAGTCAATATCAGTCTTTAAACTTAAAATAAAAAATGAATGTGACATTCATCTGATTGTCAGTATTGACTGTGAAAATTGAATTCAAACATTTTATCTTGATATAAATTTTGACCATATTGCTCAGCGCAAGTCTTGATGTATGCGAACCAATTTATCCTGTGCTGATTTTATGTCTCCTATTCACCAATGACAAACTGATACAGATATTTTACTCCAGTGGTTCTCAAATGGCAGTCCGTGATACAAGGTCTGTGAAATGTTTCCAGATATCTCTAAATGATCATTAAAAATGGGTCTTATGTGTTAATATGGTTAAAATACTCTCAATACATGTCTAAGATATTTGTCTTGTGCTGTTCTTTCACATAACTGAGTAGAGGTGTAAAAAATAAAAGGCTATGTCAAACTATTCCAAGGAATATAGATGAGGGGGGTCCCCAGAATATGTTCTAACTTGTAGGGGGCCCTTGGTAAGGAACATTTTGAGAACCTCTGCTCTACACAACTAAGTGATGCCTTTAAGTTTGGTCAATTGTTTCAGAGATATAACAAAAAACTATTCTACAGCTGGAAACTTTAAGATGAATATTTAGTGATCTTTGTTTCTGGGCTCCATTATTTACCACTTCCTTCCTGGCAATTGTTTTGCTCCTGTCACTGCAGATGCTTGTTTTAGGAAGAGACAAATGGTTCCACTTCCATAGCTGTCTTCTCTTTCTGCCTCTTCAGTCTCACTGAGGCACCCAGTCTATTAACAGAGATGACTAATAAACTAACACTTTAAATAGAGATTACATAATAAACACAATGACACGTGATTCTATAGTAATAATTATCTTGAGACATGTAAACATTCACAGTTTAAAAAGGTTAAATCTTAAAATTCCTCAAGAAGAGTCTGTCTAAACGAATCAGTAACTCATCAACCTAATTACTGGGCTGCAGCGTGTGTCTGAGTTTGCGATGTGCCACTGCTTAAATGTCAAATACAATATCAGTGGGGTATACAGACAGTGTCTGGCACAGTGCTGAAAACTTGAAAAGGTGCCAAAGCACAGACGGAAGGAGCTGTGACTTCGAGTCTGAGTCTGGCGAGAGTCCAGTTTCCTTTTCAGCACATGCTTCTGAGCGACTACTGAAAAGACGACTTTTTAACATTTACATGAAAATGCCCTCAATCTTCTCTGGCCTGATTACCACATAATACCTATGGAGGTAATATATTGGGCAAATTATGCAGCTGATCAACTGTGTCCATACTACCAGAGCAGATACGAGCCTTTCAGACACCCACAGTGCATTGCTGCTGCGGCGGCTGCTGCTGCTGCTGTTATGATTAACTGAATTCATTGTCCAAATCCAGCACCTCGGTAATGTCCACTGACTGCTGCGCCATTCTGAGAGAGCGGCTCAACTGGCCTCATGTGAATACAGGACCATGGAGGAAAAGTAACTTCCTCTCTCTTCCCGTCACGGTTACAGAGGCAGACTAAATTGGAATCATTAAATTTAGTGGGATTTTCGTGGGTGGTGTTTCCAGACTTAAAACCTGTTTGCTGCCGAGCCCTTAATAAAAAAAGTTGAGAAAAGAGACAAATAACTAGACAATAAAGTCTAACTGTGTGTCTGAATAAGACTCAGCTGTGTGTATGGTGCATTGAGATTGCAACTTCATTTGACTCAGTGGAGGAAGTGTGGGGTCTAATGTGTGTAAATGCTATGCCACTGAGAGATTATGATTTGGGATACTTAGCTGTGCCACACCAGTTAATTGGGTGCAATGCAGTGATAGTAGGCAACAAATGGCAGCTGATCTGTACTGCCCCCTACTGGTGCATTTCCACACTTTAAAGATGTGATTGATAAATTTAATCTCAGCACCGATGTTAATAAAGCTCTATGGATAACATGCATTTTGAATAAAGTTGCAGTTAGACTGAAACTACACTCAAATGACAGATAGAATAATGTGTTGCCTCAGAGTGTTGATCATATGCCTGTTTCTGTGACACATCAGCTGCAGTGTGACAGCGAGCCAAAAAAACTGACAGCAATGTCTTGCGGGATTTCATTATGGTAGGCTGTGTTAATCTAATTTATATCAGCCTCTCGATTAAAAAGGCCTCAACTCTATTTCAAGAATCAATTAATTAATGAGTTAGTATTTGTCAATAAATAATGGAAGAATATAAAGTAGTGCAGTTGCTCTATTAAGGTGTTGTCTATTGAATACACTAACCATTCCCATAGAATGTGATAAACTGTCCACCTGCAGAGTTAATACATATAAGCTCTCAGCAGATCTGCAAATCAAACTCACCCAGCTGAGAAAGTGACATTTTCAATTTATCTACCTTGTACATTTACTTTACTGAATGTATCTACTGAGGCATAAACCCTACGTGCTTGTCCTAAATCTAAAATATTTTATTTTATAGATTTCCCTCTACATAGCCTTCTCTTTTGAAATGGTTGTTTTTCCAAGCTGCCGTCAAGCTATTTCTCTCCATCATCACTTCATCCTTCTTTAAACCCTTGGATTATGGGGGAACATCTGTCTCCCTGCATGTCCACCTCAATCCAGGTCAGCTGTCATCCAGCATCCTTTCATTTCACAACAACCAGAATCAAATCTTCTTTAACTCCTACGTCCACTTACAGCAAGCTAAACTAAATCAATGTACTGACATATCTTCTCCCTCTCAATGTGTGTGGAAACACTACATTACAATCAATTAGCAGACAATTATAACCAGAGTGCATTAAAACCCCACGGAAACAAGAGTCTCTGTAGAGAACATCAGACAAGTAGAACCACAACCCCCAGAAAAAAGGCAAGGTTTGTTTGGTTTTTTGAAAACTTTTTTCCCAGTAAATTGACTGATCAAAAGAATATCAATCATTTAAGAATTAGAATATCAATCCACTGAAAAAAAAACTAAGTTACAATAACTTGGATTTGTATTTTGCCTGTCAAGTTATCCAAGGCTGCTTTACAGAGTAAGAAAACTAAAAGATGGGGATAAGATCAAAAGCCTTTGTTAACTGGTGATTCAAAATGGAGATGTGAAGATTTTCTTACTCATAGACGATCATAAACTAAACTGGACATTGGTCGTATAAAACAAGCTACTGGAGGCAATACAAACACTGTAGGCTCTGGGAAAGTATAATGTCCATTTGTCAGCTTTTCTATTTTAATATTTTACAGCCAAGAGCTGAAACATTTACTTTAATAATGAAACAACCAGATATAATTCGTATGTCCCACCGACTGGATGTTGATCAGATGGTTTCAGTGTAAATGGAGTTTTGTGGACTGTATGGTTTTCCTCCGGCTCGAGGTTGTTTTGAAAAGACACTGGTTTTACAAAAATACCAAACATGCATTAGTTCTTCTACATTGTGATCATTTGATGTTTTTCTTTGTGTCATGTGACAGTAAACTGATCTACTTTAAGTTTAGGGTAGATACTGATAAGACCATGTCAGAAATATGTGAATTCAATTTAAAAGCATTTAATACAGGGTTTTGTGATCTGATGATTTTAACAGGCATTTGTCAGTGTTGACATTGTCCAGGCTAAATCATTAACTAATTAGTTCAATAAATTAAAATATGATATCAATTATACTAATATCAATTGATGGTGATTGTAAGCTGCTCCTACACATTGTACCACACTAAGTAGGATCAGTGTTCAGGGAGGAATTTTGCTGCTCTTCCTCCACAGTTGCTCCTCCTCGTCTTCATCGCTCACTCTCTCAGACACTATCGACCAACACGTGCTCTTTGCCACACTCGCTGACCTGAGCACTGCTGAGTGTGCACTCTCACAGCTCCCAGTCTACCTGTCTGACCACATTGTGTATCTTCAGCAGGCTTCTCTGGGGCTGCCTTTTGGCTCCCATCTTCCTCCATCGTTACAACAGCTTGACACATCCTGCTCCTCCCACCACTGCTAAATCGTGAATGCTGCCTTTTATTCTGCTCCCTGACACTGAGACCGAATATTCTGCTTAACCTGACAGCTTCAGTTAGATTCCTTCCCACCAGCTCAGCACTGCCCAGAGCCCATATGGACTTGACCGAGCTGCTCTTTTTTTTTCTGGAGAATAACTCCCTCTCCTCTGCAAAATCTCTCCAACACCACTGAAACAACACGCTGACTCTTTCCCAGTCTGCCCACAATCTTTGTGTGTTTCAGCACTACCAACTGTCATGCAAGGCGCACATGACATGACTGTAATTCCCACCTGCTCCCAAAATATTCTCATCAGCATGACACATCATCCAAATGTGGCAACGCACTGTGTTTTCAGCCGTTTCAAATTCTGCCAAGGAACCAAATGTGTAATTATAGGCTAAAAACACCCCTTTCAGAAAGCTCCTAGCACTTTACATAGATATTTTGAATGTGGATATATATATTTATATATGAATGATTTTTCATCCTAAAGGTGTCCTCACTGACTTATATTCACTGAACTCACTGTTAAAAAAGCAGTTGGAGCATTATCCTGCTGGAAGTAGCCATTTGCAGATGGTAAACTGAGGCCATGACGGGATAACAAGGTCAGCACTGCCAGCCCAGAGTGTTGACACAGACAGGTTTGCTCTGTGGATTCATGATGTTGATGCTGTCATCTGCAGCCTCAGCAGGAATCCAGATTCATCCGACCAGGCTACATTTTTCAGATTTCAACTGTCCAGTTTTTTCTGAGTTTTATCCACAGCAGCCTCACATTTCTGTTATTGGCTGACAGGAGTGGAACCTGACATGGTCTCTGTTAATGTAGAAAATCCATCTCAATGTTGGACGTGTTGTTCATCCAGATATGCTTTTCTGCTCACCACACTTGTAAGGTGGTTATCTGAGTTACCATAGTCTGTCAGCTCTGAACACTCTGAGCACTGTCACTGGGGCGTTTCCATTTGCAGATAAGCTTCTCACTGGATGTTTTTGGAGTTAGCCAAAAAGAAACTTGTGTGAAAGTCCCAAGAGATCCATAGTTTTATACACAATTTGTCATCTTTTCAGTTATGACTGTTTGACTAAATAATCTAGATTTTAGCATTTAAGCATGTTCTAATGTTTCTTAAAATCTGTTCTCTTCTTATTTCAATTACATTTTAACATGTTTTTATTTTTATCTATATTCTATGTGAAGCACTTTGAGCTGTATTTCTTGTCTGAAGGGTGCTATACAAATAGAGTTCATTGATATCATAATAAGGTTTCTGGATGTATTTTTTTTTCCAAAGGGTTCAGCCTGAGCCAGGCAATACAACAAATGTAATCTTTACTTTAATTTAGGATTAGTAGCATACAGCTGTTAAATATACTATAGAGGTTGTTGTTATTTAAAATGTGCTGGCCGCTTGTATTGGATCACTGTTTGGCATCGCCATATGTGCTGAGGGATCCAGGTATTGAAATCGGTACTGGGAATTGTAAAATGGTATTGTATACATGTGGCTCAGGAGGTCGGGTGGGTTGCCCACTAACCACAAGGTCAGAAGTTCAATCCAAGCTCTGAAAATGTATTTGACATTTGTTCCATAGTCATCAAAACAAAAGCAGTAATTGTAAGGAACACCTAACCCGAACCTGCACTTCATGAAGCACCTGAGGGAAAGTGTCTCACCTTGATCCTGGGCATGGTGACTGTTGGGGGTCTTGCCTTGGCCACAAAACTGTGTGATGAGCTTCTCTCCACCACATGTCTGGTGTAGGGCATGTACATGTGACCACTGGGTCCGAACACAAAGTCCTCCCGCAGGGCATCCACCAGCATTATCACCACCCGCTTAAACAGGGGCTGGGGCAGGCGAGAGGAGTTATGAGAGCTCCCTGTAATTCAAGAGGACATCTTATAAGTTTGAACAGATATACAGGCTCATACTCGCACATATATACACTGCTCCAAAAAATAAGGAAACACAGCGGTCAATGGAAACTAAAATCATCAACCTATTGAGGGCTGGATTCAAAACCAGACAAAAAATCTAAGTAAAGATTTTTAACCACAGGCTGATCCAATCTTGTGAATCACTCAACTCATAATGTGACTCAGTAGTGTTTGTGTGTGGCCTCTGTGTGTCTGTATGAACTCCTGACAATGTCTGGACATGCTCCGGATGAGTCAGCAGATGGTGTCCTGGGAGATCTCCTCCCACATCTGGATCATCAGTGAGCTCTTGTACAGTCTGTGGCAGGGCTTGGTGGCGTCATATGCACAGATATAATGTCCCTAGGGTGCCCATTTGGATTTAGGTCAGGGGAACGTGAGGGCCAGTCAATGGCATCAATGTCTTCATCATCCAGGAAGTGTCCACTCACTCTGGTCATATGAGGCCAGGCATTGTCCGGCACCAGGAGGAACCCAGGTCCCACTGCACCAGTGTAAGGTCTGACAATCTCTGTGAGGATCCCGGTACCTAACAGCAGTCAGGGTACCGTTGGATATGACATGGAGGTCTGCGCGTCCTTTCATGGATATGCCTCCACAGACCATCACTGACCCACCACCAAACTGGTCATGCTGGATGATGTTACATGCAGCACAACGTTCACCACAGTGTCTGCAGACTCTTTCACGCCTGTCACATGTGCTCAGTGTGAACCTGCTTTCATATGTGACGGGGGGGCCAGTGGCACACCTTCAAATTCTGGTCATATTTGGTGAATATCTTCGAGCTGCGCGGTGCTTGGCTGTGTGAGCACAGGTCCCACTAGAGGTCGCCTGGCCCTCATGCCGCCCTCATGGAGTCTGTTTGTGACTGTTTGGTCAGAAAAATGCACACCAGAAGCCTGCTGGAGGCCATTTTGTAGGAGTCTGGCAGTGCTCCTCCTGAAAGGAGCAGAAACTGGTCCTGCTGCCGGGTTGATTTCCTTATACGGCCCTGTCCAGCTCTCCTCGTGTAACGGCCGGTCTCCTGGTGTCTCCTCCATGCTCTTGAGACTCTTGAGACACAACAAAGCTTCTTGTGCACATATGTATGGATGGGCCCTCCTGGAGGAGCTGGACTACCTGTGCAACCTGATTGGGCTGCAGGTACCGCCTGATGCTGCCAGTAGTGACAAGGACACCAGCTGAACACAAAACTAGAGAGGAATCAGTCAGGATGGATAAGGAGAGAGAGCAACTGTCTGGGGCCACCACATGTAGAACCAGTCTCTGTTTGGGGATCGTCCTGCTTTTGCCTCCATTGCTCCTGTTGTCATTTTCATTTGCACCAAAGCAGGTGAACATGATTCAGTCCCTGAAGTTTCACTGACCTGGTGTTACACTGTGATGATTAAGTGTTCCCTTCAGGTTTCGGGGCAGTGTTCATTATCTGTATACATACAAACCGAGGTCACACTCACCTGACAGAGGCTCCGCTGGCAGGTCCGACAGTTTGTTCTTGGATGACAGAGACGACTTGACGGGCACAGGGAAAAATCCCCGCAGGAAGAGAGCGATGCCGATCACTTCAAATATTAAGATGAACGAGGCGAAAACAGACGAGCGGACTTTCATTGTGCTGGCTGCCGGGTTCTTTCGTGAAACGAGTAAGTTGATGAGTGATTTCACCTGCGAGCTAGCAACAGTTCCTCCACATGCAGGGAAACACAGGAAGCCATGACTTCGTGTTTCAAGTGGAGGCTCCGTCAAACTGCGCGTTTCAGAGCTGCACGTGTTGGTATTTAGTTATATGTCTTTGTGTTCGATATTTGTAGCCGGAATTAAAAATGAAAACACTGACACCAGTTAGCGCTGTCGCCATTCAAAGGTGCTTCCGCATTGAGAGCACGGAACTACGGGAACAACATAGAACCAAACAAGAGCAATACGCGCCCCAGCGAACTCAACGTTTACCTCTGCTCCAAGAGTGGATGTGATGAGAGCAGAGAAAACAATGAACTAAATAGATGGGAATGATGGGAAATGATGGGAAATAAAAAATAATCAAGGGTTGATTGCTGGATTTAATTGTTCTTATGTAGTTCTATTGTATTCTGTTGTATTTTTGCACACAGGCTGTAATAATATCTAGATTAGGGGATCAATAAAGGATTGTTTTATCTTATCTCATGTCATCTCATATGATCTTATCTTGCCTGCAAGCTTTTACAGATTATAGAATAAATATTAAAAAATATTAATAAATATTAAATTATTTTAACCTGCCATATATGTACTGTAATAATTCCATTTCATAATAACACACACACAAACAAACAGAGAGAGAGAGAGAGAGAAGGGAAACAATACACTGCTACATGTCACTTGTACTTTTATCTTAAGTCAAAGAAAGAGTAGGTGAATTAACATTTAAAATAAAAAAATACTTTTATATAAATTATGACTGTTCACTACATGACTTGCATTTAATTACAATTATTTTAAAAATGACTGATTCCATCTTTTATACTATTTTACATATAGAGTCAGTGTACTTTAAAGCAAAGGTGAAATACAAGTGCATTTCTTTCTTAAAATCATCAGATGACTAGAAACAGAGAAGGTGCTCAGATTTGCCGCAGGGTGTGATCACACCTGCCAACAGGAGCGATAAGTGCAGTATGTAACAGTATATGTGGATATGCATCAGACATCTGGCTGAGCAAAATCCTGACTCACCCTACTTGTTCATCAGAGTATAGTAAGAGCCTGTTAACAGCCTCTGTGTTGACATCAGTCTGGAAAATGTCTTTCCTCCCACTCATATGTCCCCTGTTTACCTGAAACAATTTGCAGGCACATTGTTTTCCTCCCACAACCTAAGCTTTGGCGTCCTCAAACACTGAGTCCTGCTGGTCTGCAGTTCACCATCATCATGTGAACCCAAGTTTTCTAACAGGATGTATCTTTATCTAGATTCTCAAATATTTTCAAGAAACTGCTGCTGTGGAGAAACAAAAAAATAAAACAATGAAGGGGTGATTTACACCATGCACATGTTGTATATACCCCAGTATGCAATGGCATGACAACCTTTTATGCTATAATAACAATAATGAATAACTTCATCATTGTTCTGACGTCACTGATGCCATTGGTTTTAAAGGTTCATGCATTCCTACATTATATGACATAATTATTTTTATTCATATTAAATCATTATGACTTCTTCATGTCATCACGTATCTATGATAAATGACAGGGAATGATTTTTCCAATCAATGTAAGCTTTAGACAGTTGTAGATTGTTGAGTTATTTTATACACACACACACACACACACACACACACACACACAGTGTTTTTATGAATAACAAATATACCCAACATGTTGCATGTTCTGTCATCAGTACTTGAAGTCAGTGCAAACCAGAGACGTTAAACGTTTCTCCATGTTAATGCATGATACATTTATTTTAATATGTAGATTTGCTTTAATTTGCAAGGTTCAACTACCAACACACAGGGACAATTAGATATTTTCAATGTGTAACTCCAACAACTGGGAAGAAGTTACATTAGAAGACTATCTGAGGGTTTAGTAAAATTGAAACCTGACAGTTATGAGGCCTGGGGTTGATGAGGTCTGGTTGGAAATGAGCTCAAGAAGGATTTAACTTCTACTTAGCTCTGCTGCATGTTTGAATTGTTGCTGCCATCTACTGGTCAAATCATGTAAATGACAAACACACCAACAGATATCAGTCAATTCTATTTTCTCTTTGTTATTTTCAAATGTCAGGGTCAGCAACGGATGAAGAGCTCGTGAGGATTAAAGGATAGACTCACAAATGTTCAAATCTGTCAAAACAATATCCACATGCTCATACATATGCTGAAAGTGTTATTGGTTTCTGTAATCCTTCTTCCTGTCCATGCCGGCCTTGAAGAGATAAGATTATTTCAATGCATATGATGGGGGATTAAGTCCACAGGCCTTGTTCTGTGTGAAAACTCATTGTATGGTTCATATGAGGATATGGACAAATTAATTGGAACAGACTGTGGAACAGACGGAGACATAGTAAAAGCCCCAACTTTAGAAGAATCCCACTTCATTTGTCAAGAACATTTGATTATACTTTAAAGTGAATCAGAAATGCATGATTAAAGAAAGGTCAGTCACAGTTTGAGTTTAAACGAAATGCAGGAAACCTTAATGAGCAGAGATTCATGCGTGAACTTTATCATAATGACATTTTAAAAACAAAAATATGTCATAAATACCTTCAATTCAGTAGTCAATAAACATGTACAATTTAAGAAAATACCAATAGGTCTCATCTTTGGTTTACCTCTGAACCATCATCATTTTCCAAATCAGTGGGTCCTTTCCCATGGCTTACTTTCACCTAATAGATTTATAATGTTGGTGAAAGCTAAACCAAAGTAAAGATGTACATTTCCATTAGGTGTTTAGTAGAAATGTTGTTGCAGACATACCCACCACTCTAATCTTGTATGACACAGTATCTGACTTGTATCTGCCATTGAACACACAGATCTATTTATAGATTTGTCAAAGGCGTTGGGTTAATCATTGTGTTTTACAAATAATATGCAGTATTAGATTTGAAGTAGATGCTGGTAGTTTGGCCATAATGAAATCTGACCAGACAGCTGGTTGTTGAGGCAGTTCTCATGTTTGCCTTAAATCATAACACACAGACATGATGCTGCTTTGTAAATGTTAGATTCTGTAATTTCACCTTTAGATGTATCACCGGTCATGGCGATGGTTCTATGGTTTCTATATGAGGCCGTTATTGGAACAATTCCTACCTTTATTACTTCTGAACCCAATCACTCTTCAAACATCAAGAGCAATCACTGAATCTGAGTAATCTGACTCATATACCTGCTTATAATT